TCCATTTACGGCATCAGGAGATCTCGCTATTTATGCACAATATAAACCTGATCAAATTCTGAGACTTTAGAATTCCTTTTTAGCTTACTTACTCTGGGATATGCACCTACTGTAGCTCAGGCCTGGCTAGCATGTCACACCATTGTTGTGCCCTGCCACAACTTATCCCCATGGGAGGCTTTGCTCACTGCCTACTCTTCACTCACCTTTCAGGTTTTCAAGGCCATAGTTCCTAATACCTTTCAATTAACTTTCTTAATCACTCTCTAGTATTATAATATTGTAGGGTTTCCCTCTCCTGGAAATAGATATAAAGATCCATGAATAGACAGACAGACAGATACTTTACACAGCCTTTAGTTTAGTAGTGGAAATATATATAATCCATTTCTAATCTCAAGGTTGATGGTAAATATAAACACTTAGAAATCAGTATTCACTAAATACTAGGAAGTAATACCTTATTTTCACAAGGGAAATTTGGCATTATGCCAATATGCTTAAACTACTGAATGATTTAAAGCATTGCAGGGAACTATTTTATAACAATAGACAGACTACTGTTCTGGAATTTTGCCTCTCATCTCTGGTGGAATTATATCAGAATCTTGTATTCTCCTAAGTGAAGTTTAATAGGATTCACGTCTTAAAAATGAGTTCACAGACGGAATGAAATTGCGGAAAGTTGGTGTAATGCTTCAAGGAAAAGAGAAAGTTCCCGTATGCGGATTAATCTTGGAACAAAAACAACAACAAAATTGACCTAGATTTAAGAAACCCATAAACCATTTCTCAGTTTGCCCAGTTAGTCTTGAAGAAATGAATTATATATGTTTTGTAGCTAAAATTATTTTTTGTTGTCATAATATTTATTACAATTCTTACACAAGCCAGCCCCTGAATTTTGATCAAAGCTCGCATTTGAGAGGAGAAAATAAACAAAATCACTTCAGAAAAATGTGACGGGAACTGTCTAATAGGAACAGAGGGTCCATATGAAGCAGTCATAATAGATAAGAGGAGAATCAGATTTGTGCCAATTTTGGATAGCCTCCAATGGTATAGCTCAGTTAAGGGCCATCAGGACCTGTTCAAGTCTAAGAAATAAAACTGTCACAAACTGTATTCCATTGAGAGGCTGCAGAGGAAGAGTATTCCGGGTAGAGTGAGAGCTATCTGGGAAAATAAATAAATAAACCATATCCGAGAGTGCCAAAGAGATTTGTTTAATTAGAAATGTAACTATGTCAGGTGCAAGAGGTCCCGGGAGGAGAGAGAACTTTTTTTTTTTTAATTTAAAGAGCATTCCATGTTCAAAAGAAACTGACTGTTTTAAAGGTAGATTGAATATTTTTGATGAATCAAATTGTTTCAGCTGAAGTAGTTTAAATACTCAAATATTTAATCCCTCTTCAGTGAGGAAAAAACAAGATTATCCCAAATAAACCAAAACCCAAACCCACTACCATTGAGTTGATCCCAACTCATAGCGACCCTACAGGACAGAGAAGAACTGCCCTATAACGTTTTCAAGGCTATAAATCTTGATGGAAGCTGACTGCCACATCTTTTTCCCGAAGATTGGCTGGTGGGTTTGAAATGCCAAACATTTCATTACCAGCTGAGTGCTTTAACAAATACACCACCAGGGGTCCTACTATCCCAAATAAGAAAGGTAAATATGGAATGTTTTATATTAATATTCAACTTCAGTTCATGAGATTATTAAAATCAATACTTAATATAGAGAAGCAAAGGTGCAATTTCATTAAAGCAGCTCCTTTATATTTCTGACTCTATTTAAATATAATTTACCTTAAACAATGATTTTAAATATTGATATTAAAGTACTTTGAAATACCAGAAATTTGAAAAATTGCTAGGTTTTTCTAAGAATACTAAATAATATTATACAAAAACTTCATTTACAGCAAACTCTTAGTAGCAAATAAGCATTATATTTATGTATTTTAGTTCTGGTGTTATTTTCATAAGTTATTAAAGTAAAACAATCCATGGAATAAATTTACAACCATTGAGAAATCC